ACGACCACCTCTTCAAGCTGCTGCTGATCGGGGACAGCGGCGTGGGCAAGACCTGCCTCATCATCCGCTTCGCCGAGGACAACTTTAGCAGCACCTACATCTCCACCATCGGTGAGACCCCGGCCCAGCCCCCGCCACAGCTCCCCGGGCACGGAGCGGCCCGATGCCCCAGCGCAACCCCTGCCTCTGCCACTGGCCCGGGGCATCTCCCTGCCCTGCTCGGGCAAGGGGACCTAGGGCAGGACCTGCCCTGAGCCCGGTCAGGGGCAGTCACGCCCCCGCCTCGCTAGCAGAGTGACACCGTCCCGTGGACGCGCCTGTCCGGCTGTGCCTGGCGCTGGCAGCCCCACGGGCTGGGCACAGAGCAGCCCGCGAGCTCCCAAAGCGCAGGGGATGGGGAGGGGGGCTCAGGGTGGACCCAGTGTGCCCAGCCTATGGAGGTATGCTCCAGGCCTGGCTGCTGCCTGCCCTGCGCTTCCTCTGTGTCACATCCTGTCCCTGGTGCTGGGGCAGAAGCCAGAGCCCAGGACCCCTGAGTTTCAGCAGTGCCTCCGTCCCATGGCTCAGCCCAGCCCTGGCACATCCTGGACCCTGTCCCAAGGCCCCCCGCCCTGTCCTGCTGGTGAGAGGCAGGAGCCCCTGCCAGCTGGGGGGGGGGTGCCCCCCGCCCCCTCCCCTGGGCAAGGCCTCAGCTGTGCCTGTGCTGCCCCCACCCCTCCTGGCGTCCCTGCAGCCCAGCACTGGGGCCCCCACGGTGGGGCCTGGCTTCTGCCCACTTGGCACGGAGCGTCCTGGCCCCAGGCTGGCTCGGCAGCCCGGGTGCGTGTGTGGCCGGGGCTCTGTACACGCAGACACTCGCGCTCCCTCCCTCCCGCCTGCCAGCTGGGAGCTTGCCCTGGCGGAGCTCAGCTCCTGGAGGGGAATTCCAGTGACGAGGCTGCTCCCGAACTTGGTGCCTGTGCTCTGGGCAGGGGCTGGGGTCTGTCCCCCCCACGCCTTCCTCTCCCTGAGGCCCTCCCCTCTTTTCCCAGCCCAGAGAGCTCTGTTCCCAGCTGCTCCCAATCCTGTAGCTGGGACCATCGTGTGCTGGGCTGACAAGCTGCCACCTCCCTGCTGGGCTGGGGGACCCTTCTGGGGGCCAAGCTGAGCCAGCAGGAACCGGCCCCCAGCTCTGGGACCTGGGGGATGCAACCTCTCAGCCCCTCCCTGGCTGGTGCTGCCCCTGAGCTGACCTGCCTGCACTGCCCAGGCATCCTGCCCCTTCCACTGGTGCCTGTGGCTTCTTCAGCAGCCCCCAAGATGCACGTGGCCCCTGGTGCCGTATCCCTGACAGCCCGCATTCCTCTTGCCTCCCAGGGATCGACTTCAAAATCCGGACTGTGGAGATTGAGGGGAAGAAGATCAAGCTCCAGGTCTGGTAAGTGGGAACCTGGCTCCCCTTGCCCCACCTGGTACCCACCAGCCAGCCCCTGCCAGGGGGTGTAGGGGGCCTGCCTGCCAGGTAGCAGCCCTGGCCGGGAGGGGCAGGTCCCAGGGTGCCAGCGGACAGGAGCTGGCCCTGCTCCCCACGCTCTCGTGCAGGGACACAG